AGACAGAGAGAGAGAAGAGAGAATCTGAAAGCTTCGGTATGTTTTAAGTGCATTAATGTGTGTGTGTGTGTGTGTGTGTGTGTGTGTGTGTGTGTGTGTGTGTGTGTGTGTGTGTCATGGCCCATAACGGCTTATCCCTTCATCCCGCAGCAACCACTTCCCTGATGATGGCCCATTAGCAACGGACACACACAAACATCCGTGCATGTGCTCACCAAACCGCGCTGCCCATTCTGTTTCTCACGTGATGCTCTGGGTGGTCACATGACCATAGCCGTCTGCCACCTGACTGACTGGAAGCCAACGCTCCATTTCCCAGCAGCACTTAGGAGAGACCCTGACCACCAATATCAGTGCTAGACTCCTCCCTCGGGGCACTAGAAGATTACTTCTCTCCATCTCTCTCTCTCTCACTCACTGTACTCATGTGTCTCTCTCTGTGTGTGTCTCCATAGTTGTGAGCGGGGAGAGCAGACAGCAAGTCTAAGGGGGCTTCCTAATCCATTATTAATGCTTCTCCATTCTAGTTGATAAATGGGTACGCTGCTATACAGTAGAGGCTTTGTAGGAGGCAGTAAATGCATATCTAAAAAAAAAGTGTTAGCAGCTTTTTGAGTATTTAAGGAATAAATTTGATCCGTGTGCACAAGTCTCTGTCTGTTGAGTGAGTGTTTTCTTTCTCTCCATCCCTTCTGTTCTGCTCCGAGCTGCAAAACATCATGAGACTTGAGTTTGTCCGACTCAAAAATACCCTCTCGCTCTCCACCCGAGCCTCTCTCTATTTCTCACACACACACGCACGCACGCACTTATCTGCACAAACGACACAAGGACTTCTCACTCTCTGAGCACTCTCGCTATCCTCCTCTCGCCTATCCGAGGACTTGAAAGAAGCGTCCTCTACATCGCTGCACGAGTGACAGCTTCATGTCTGACTGCCCCATTTCTGTTGTGTAACAGCCAACTGAGGACACACATGCACGCACACAGGCACACGTACACCCACATGCACAACGAGGCAGCCAGACATGCGGCAGAAACAGAATATCGGCATCAATGCAGCTTCCTGCAGAGAAGCTGAAAGCGTATACCCTCTGATCAACTGGTCTAGTCTGGACATCCCACTGGTCTTTTGCACTCGGTGATCGTCTGCTCTCGTCTTCTCTGGGCTCATTGCACCCCAGCGAGCGCGGAGCACTCGCAGCGCCAGATGGACGGAGGTTGCAACAGAAGACAATACTGCGAGTGCCAGAAAATGCTGACTTTAAACACAGACATGTTGAGCTAGTGCTACACTGTACTACAACAAATACTATTATATGGTTATTTTCTGTGTAGTTTCTCAAAGGAAGTTGTGCCAAGTTCCTAATCTCTCCTGGGGACAGTGGAAGCCTAAACATAGCATACATGACTGCATACATGATTTGTCTGTTTCCTTTATAAAACAGCAATTTGTGTTTACATAAGAGAAGCAAATCCAGAAAAGAAGAAGAAACTGTTTTGACAACCTCAGCAGTGGGAAATTCACAAAGTTATTTGTCATGTTGACTGTTTCACCAGCCAAGTAGGTTTTAAAATACGAGGACATTAGAGTTCACGATGCTGCCAGTCAGGTGTTGAATATCTCAGTGTTTAAACTTAAGCAATTAGAGATCATATGGTTCTAAAGTAGATGATGAAGAAGAGACTGTCTAAAGTCTGCAGCTGCACTCTGAACAATACAATTATGAGTATGAGTGGGAGGGTTTTATTAAGACGAGCTGCAGATGCTTTAAGAATTACTGCACAAAAAAAAAAAAAAAAAAAAACATTCAAGACCTCAGTTTCACCTTAAAAGTTATTAACACACAGCAAACAACTGGCAGCATACTATTCTTTTATTTGCCATAATGATGAAACCCTTCTTAGAAACCTAACTCAACTATAAACTTCTCGTCCCAGTTTCTCCAGAATGTGCTGCTGACCCACTTCGATGTTCCTCTGATTAACCTTTTGAGTCCTGACCCAAATATTGAAGAATGCCGCGCTGTAGCTGTAAATCTTGATCACATTAAGCCTGTCGGTTGAGTGAATGAGCCGAGTTGTTTCTATATGCAGTAAAGACCCTACAGTGGCGGTGGACGGGGGCACATGTAGGGGTGGTGGTGGTGTGTGTGTGTGTGTGTGCATGCCCAGTGTGTTCCATTAGTATGAAGCTAGAAGTGTCTCTCAGACCCCCCACACTCTGGAAATACTCTCCTGCAAAGAACCACAAACCCCCTGCAGCACGCACACACACACAGATACACACACACACACACACACCTCATAAACATGTGCATGAAAAAGACACAAAAACCACAACCTCTCCAAGACCTTTACCACAGCTTGTTATGGTTAGCCAGCATATGAGGGAGGGAGGGAGACAGAGGGGGAGAGGGCATCTGTTCTGAATAAGAATGATTGAAAAGAGGATGAATAAGTTCCAGCAAAAGTCAGAGGGGGAGAGAAAGTGATGGAGA